ATTACACCATTCCGACTTTTATCTAGGCTTAGCTCAACTATTTCACTCACTATCGAGGCGGAGAGATTATGTTTGTCTGGGGGAATTTAAATAACATTTCTACTTAATGGAACTAATTTGCATGTTATTGCACGCCGCCTCGGTCATGGGAAAATTCCATTCAACACTATCCTTATCTCCAGTCTCAGCTTCCTCTCTTCCTTCGCTAAAGACGTCGAAGAGTGAGTCTGGGAAATTGGGAATTATTCTTCCTCCAGCAGTGAGTGAGTGGAGCTAATAATTTTGCCTTGTTATTTGTCACACAATGCCAGCGAACGAGGAAAAGAGAGTCTAGAAGGATCTTAAGAGGAAAGAAAAAAAAGAGAGAAATAAAATTGTCACTCAATTGGCTTCCATCTGTATAATAGGTTTCCCTTCTCCATTACAGGATCATTTCATTTAACTTTCCTTTATCCTTTCTTTCGGCAACATTTTGCAGCCCAGTGCTCGGAACTTATTGTTCTTCAGACCAATTAATTCAATTAACTTTGAAGCAATTGCCCATGGTTTAAGGATTTTAATGTTATCTTCCAAGACAATTCGGTCGTCTACAACACTGCAAGTTTCCCAGAATAATTTGGAGAATTAAACTTTTAGCATAAATTTCAAACTTCATATATTCTTTTGAAAATGTACAAAATGTTGCAAAAATCTATCAATTCAAACACTTCTTATATACCCAGCGCTCATTTCAGTTTCTTATTGTAGTGATTTTCTATCCGCTAGACTTGTAAACGAGCTTTACCGCTAAGCTCTGGATGCTCAGGACTTTCTTATGGAAAATAGTAATCTCACCCAGTATCAATTTCCTTCCTTTTCACCCAGCAGAACCCAGATGGAACAAGAGGCCTATAAAACGTCCTTAAAAACTTTGTGCAATATATTGAAAGCTTCCTCTCTGCCTGTACTGGAAGGTGCAAAGACGGGAAGTTTGTTTTACGAGGGATTTCCCGTCGCTGGTGAGTCTACAAATTGTCACACTTTCCACCACATCATCATCTATTGGGGTGATTGAGCCTCTTTCAAATATAATTGCATTTAAAATAAGGTGAGCAAACGTGATAAAATTGAGACGCTCATCACGCTGTTATTTTTCCCAAGCGCACGTGTGAGTAAGTCATTTTGGTGTGAAATAAGGAACCTTCAGTTAAAATCACATTAAAGGAATTCAACCATAAACTCAATTACATGTACTGAAACCATTTAAAAATTAATTCCCTGGATACCTTTCTTGAGTGTGCCGTGGAGGAATGCGTGTGCTCATATTTTGATTCAGTAAGACGCGGCTCAGGTTCGTGGAAATGGCGCTTTGGGGAGTGAATAAGAGGAGGCGATGGAAGTAAAATTTAAAGAAGATTTTTTCGCCTGTCGTCTCCATAAAAAGATGGGATACACATGAAATGAGACAATTGGATTTCGTGTGAATGGTGTGCGCGAGTAAATTCGTCGGGAAGCTCAAGAGCTCCTTACACACTTCGCATTCACTCGCAACCGAGTCTATTCATCGCTTGAAAGGATGCCGTCGAGAACTATGGAAACACACATAAATTATGTTTCACAATTAAGACTCTAATTTACAATAGGGTAACACTTTCGTAAATAAACTATGAACTGTTATTAAATTATATTTTGATCCTTCTCTCGTTGTGATGACTTGTCTTATTTTTGTGCTATTCAAAAAGCGTTTTGTTGAAGAATTTTACTTGATGAGTTGAAAAGTTTCTACAGGTATTGAAGCCACTTTAATTCCAGAAAACTTGTGCCCGTAATCGTCGAAGCACCTCAGAGCTTAACATATGGGCTTGTGCGTGGTGTGTGAGTAAGTTGAATGTTTATATTATCCTTGAATAAATACGAGTGACGGTGAATCGGTGGTAAGAGATATGGAGCGTCTTATGAATGATTATTGCCATCGTCACGACGAGCACTCAATCAAAAAATAATAATATTGCTCCAAGGTGGCCTCCCAGAAGGGGGCGAGCAGACATTTGTTCGGGGGTTCCGGGGTGTCGCTCAAATTCTGATAAACACAATAAACCCTCCGCTCAATTGCAAGGCACAGGAGGGGTATGGTAGGCCACCCCTCATTTCTCTCGCCGCCGCACGATGTGGAAATTTAATCGAATTATAAGCCTTCACGGAAGTACTTTGTCACGGAAAAACAACAGAAAATGGGAGCAATATGTCTCGGGAGTTTATTTTCACAGTACGCACACATGACAGAGCCGGCGAAAGTGGGTGCCAGGTCAAAGGGTGAGTTGAAGAGGTGCAGGAAAGATGAATGGGTGAGGGTTCAGCACTGAACTACAAATTTATCTGCTTAATCTCGCTGGGATTTAAAGACACATTCGCAAGGGTAGTTGCATTCTTAAATGAGAAATTCATTAAATTTCCTGTAATTCCAAACGTCGAGAAGCAATCCTATTTGCCCAGGGGCAGATTTAAAGCCTATCCAATCGATATTTCTCCTGATTATGTCTCCAAATTGATTCTCTTTTTTGAGTTTACAATCAAGTATTCAGTTATTTCTTTATCTCTTCTGGTTTGGCCATTATCATTGCTTGAGATCAACTTAAATATGTATTGCCCTTTTAAATTGACGGAGGTTTTTTACTGAGTTATCCAGTTTAGTGTGCGTTAATATTTCATACACAGTGAGTTATCCACATTGTAAAGGTTTCATTTGCTTTGATAGGATTAATTTACTTACCTTTGAGTCAAAATTATGTGACCTTTGCTTGATTAATTGCCACGAGAGCTCATCCACGTGCACAAACTGCGAGTTAATGATCGCTGAAGTAAATCAAAGTATGTCTAATGTATATATAGTTCGCCTTTCTCACCTTCTATGTCAATTTCACCCAATCGCTAGAGCGCAAACGCCTCATTCTTGGGGAACGCAGAGGTAATATGTAATTCTGTACAGTAATGAATTCTTTCTGGAGATGGTTTATGGTAAAAATGGATATTTTTTCAAGATGTTATCCTCATATTTTCAACGCGCCGGAGTTTCATCTTGATCCTCTCTCCCTCTCGCCGTGCCATTTCCACTGATGCTGTCACAAACTATATAGCTGTCAGTGAGTCTAACATCTTAACAGCATTTTTCTCCTCAAACTTTGCCCTGCACACCCGCCGAGACGCTGCTCAGTTGGAAAATATGCGGATGGAGATTTTTTTGCCGCCGCGGCATTGTTGGGTCCACCTCCGAGATGTTAGAGTCCGGGAGTATGCAAGTGAGAGGCGTGCACTTATGTGAATGCAAGTACTGTGATGGCAGGATATTGAAAGTATACGGCATAGTTGGAGCGCAGCTGTAAATCCTTGAGGATTATATCGCATGCACGAGTCACATAGCATTGTGTCCTGGAAATTGAGGGCCATAGATGTCCGATCGGATATTGAAGGCTTTCCATTGTGCACCAATATTTGTACACGAGGAAATGAATTGCAATGCTTAGAGAAAAAAAAAACTGCTACGGGGATCAAAGGGACACTCTTCCTGGAAACTTTTCCAGATTGCGACTCACATAAATATAAAACCGCATGCTCTCCATGCTTAATCTCCTCCAGGCAGCATCAACCTATGACATGCACTTGTATTTACCAAAAACATTTCGAGAGAATCAAAGAGCGGAATTTTCCCCTTTGGTGGCTTTTCGAATCAGTCGTGGAAAGCACGACGATGATTTTCAAAATCATGAATCAAATTACGAAAGTACATGAAAGCAAACCATGGTGTGGAATTTTCCTCTTAGTCTTTCTAGTTAGCGGATAGCACGGATTAAGCAATTAGAATGCTCTTCAAAGTAATTTCATCGCATTGAGCATCACATATTTCACATATTTCAAATTACACGCGAGATATCTTCGCCAATACTCTACGCAAATATATTCTAACCATATTTTCCTCGTGAAATTTGATTATTTCTAGGAAAAAATACTGTGCGAAATTTTCTTTTCATAATTTCATTATCCTAAATATTAAACTTTATTTCCTGTTCAAGCTGTTGTGTACTGTTGACATAAAAAGTTGATCAACAATGTTTATCGCGATAACACAATGGTTTTAATTAAAAATCATTTTGGAAATTGCAAATTTTAATTGATAATGCTTACATAGCGAGGAAGTGACATATAGTAATTAAAATTGTACCGACATTTTCCGATAATAGACTTGCCTTCTTCCCTAAAATCAATCAATACTTCCAGCACAGAAAGTTGTGGTACAAATTTATAAAGTTTCATGTAGAATAAATGTATTGCTGCATAAAAGCATTTTTTTTTTGTGCTGTGAAATATCAATAATTTTTCACGACTGGTGGCAAGAGTTCGCTTTTTTCATTTTCAGACTGCGCGAGAAAAGTGAAACATGGTGAACCGCGAGAGGATGATAATCCAATTATCCAATTGTGATGTGATATTTTGGCGCCACAGCGGAAGAACGAGTCGTCTTTATGCGCTTTCGCGCGAGAATGGAAATTGCCGAGGGGTGGGGATTGTGTGAGACCTGAATTGTGTGGGAAAGGTGTGGGTCATTCATTTGGGGAGAAGCTCGACTGCTCAATTGATGGAGTGGCCGTCGATGAATCGATGGGGTGTTTATGTGCTGCCCTCCCTTGAGATTGTCCACACGGCTCCAGACAAAAAACCCTCGTTGTCGACCACGCCAGGGACGCGAGCATGCCTTCTATCTGAGTGAAGTTTCACAACTGAGACTCACCCTCGAACCTACCTCAATTTAACAGGCTGCAGAGAGAGAGAGAGAGAGATTCTCCTCAGTGGTGAGTTCCAGCTCGCCACCAATACTCACCATTCCTCGCGGGGTTCAACCCAAGAGAGAGCGAGCGCAGGGGAAGCTGGCTGACAGAGAGAGAGCGAAGGAGAGCAACTGTACGCAGCCCTTGCACAGGATCCGAAGCGGTGAAGTCAGTCGACGTCGGTACGTTCATCGAGTATCACGTGTGTCTCTGTCGAGAGGGTTGAAGAACGAATATTCCATCCGGCAGTGCGTTCGTGCAAGAAATCTAATCTATAGCCGGGGAAAGAAATCTCCCCTTTGTCGTTAGTGTCTCCGATACGAAGTAATTGCCCTTCATACCCTTAATGGTCCCTGGTATCAAGTCAAGGAATTTGCCCACGACTTCCCCCCCCGCAGACTGACTGTGGGAAAATTGAAAAACTTCCTTCGCGCAACAGCAATTTCTCGCCAGTAATTAAGTCGAGAAGGAATAAAATTAAATTTTATGCACTTAGTCAATTCGCGGGTGAAGGAAAAAAGTCCACACGTCCGAAGCCTCTTCCGCGCATAAGACGCAAAAGGGGTGAGAGCGCGGGCAGTGATGGAATTAAATAGGAATTAACCCTTTTTCTTTATTATTCACATAATTAACTCGGAAATTGTATCCAATTTCGACCCCCTAGTGAAGCATTTTACGAGTGTTGAAGTTAAGAGCGTTTGCGAGAAGCTCGAAAGTGAGATGCGTTTGAAGCTTCGATGACGCTTGAGGAGTATTTTGAATATTATGTATTCCTCCTTTCCAGATGCTTTGCATTTCTTACTCTTATGTATACGAGTATTCTTCCTTGGAAGAGGGAGCGTTGGAAGAAAGTTGAGAATTTCTGAGTTCAGCAGCGAATTCAAATTGCTTCTTTTGGACTAAGATAAATGGATCTATCGTGAAGAGGGGAGTTAGAAACCAAGGTTGTTATCAAGTTTTTCAGCTCAAAGTTCATTGTGCAAAATTTGATTGTTTTTCTAAAATTGATTTCCAAGAAGTGTTCCTTTTGAAGTGATTATTATAATATTTTTTATATACACTACATTCACAGTTAACTGAATAATTTGATATTTGACAAAACTTTAGCCTAAGCAATTTAGAAAACATTCGGTATACTTTAGAATAGTTGTTTTCCTCTCAATTAATCTCGAAAAGAGTGAATTTGGTGGAATGTGCTTGAGTAAGAAGCTCACAAAAGTGCCATGAAAGTTTAAGTGATCTTCATGGGAGTGCTTCAAAGTGGAATAGTCTTCCTTCAAGCAATTACACCAAATGGAAAGTGTTCTGTCTTGAAAATTTTACCACCTTCCGAATCCAATCGATGTCTCCTCTTTGTCTCTCACTTCTGCCGACAACTTGCGTGGAACTTGTAAGATCTTGAGCGGAAGTAGACCAGAGAACTTGAAAATATACTTTGAGAGATGACAAAAGTTTCGATGCAATTAAAATGTGTTTATTAAATTAATAATTACTTTTCTAATTTTAATTACATCTCATTTGAATAACCTTCACTCAGAAGTCAATTATTCCAAAAATTCTCAATTGCAACCTTTCTTCACAAAGAACTCACAATAACTTTAAACAAACTAACTTTGAATGTTATAAATTTTCTCTGTATTTTCATCATATACATGAGCGTAACTTCCGCTCTATTTGAATACAAGTTATCATGATCCATAAAAGCATTCTTCAAAGCAATGCCATTAGAGTACTCAAAGTTCAGAATAAGAAGTATTTCGAAATGTGATTTTCTCTTTTCGTCTGTCAAAGGACTTCCTTGATTTTCCTTCCTCACAATAAAGAGAGGCATTCTGTGACATAAAATCTCGACTGGATACCTTTATGAGTGTAGCTTTTCAGGTCCCAAGATATTGAAATAATGCTCATTCACGTTTTTTTATATGAAAACTGCGGGAGATCATATTGTATTTTTTTTGCTATGCTTCTTTGTAGCATTTCATCTTACGCTTGGAAAAAAAGGTGTTTTGTACTGTAAATCAAATATCAAAAAGGCAACGTATCGTAAGACGTTAAACTTATATTCAGAACACTCAAAATTTCAAAAACTCCTCCTAAAGAATCTGCCAAACACTTTTTCGCATTATTAATACATAATACAGCACCACCTCATTATTTAATTTGTCTTTGATCTAATTTCTCCCTTGTTGGAGATTTGCAAGAGCCGCACAATTCAAAGGGAATGCTCAAGGAAACAAATTAAATGGAGAAAAATTTTACCTTGTTACATGAACCTTTTTCCCTCATCCATTCTCTTCAGCTGGGGAGTTATTAATTCACAAGACATAAAAAAAAAATCTAATGACGAAGGAAAGTGGGGAAGACCAGAATGTGATGTATTAATTATTTATTGTCCAGAGAGGAAATGTGTAGCGAAAAGATCCTTAATTTGCACATTCCTCTGTCCGTTTTTTTTGCCATTCTTCCGTCGCCTCACTCATCCCCAAACCTAAATACGATGACCGAAATGATAAAAGCTTCCTGAACGGAGCTTTCGAGTCCTCAATATTTCACAGCGAATGGCCTTCTTCTCGGGGTGAGCAAATGAGACAAATCATCCGAAAGTGTGGAGTTCCTGTGAATTGGTCGTCTCTCCGGCAGTGCACGAAAGATCAATGAATTTTCATCATGAGTGTGTTGATGTAGCCAAATAGCTTTCATGGATCATTAAAAACGGCAATGTCGTCCGTGAGAGACACACGAAAGGATCCCAAATTTCTCTGGGCGAAGAAGATGCTAAGGAAATGTATATGTGAAACGTGGCATGAATGCTAAAAAATATATGCCATTGCCGAAAAATCTCTTTGGTATAGAAAACACAGCGAACGCCCCAAGGGAGAAGGTACAATTGAGTGATGGTGAACAATGAAAGAAATGTATTTCTGTGGGTGGAAACATAAATAAAATTAAAATTACGCGGATATTTATCAGACCCTATGTAAACTTACTTAAGAAAATTGTAAGGTAAATCAAACCAAAGAAAAGAGGAAGAGATACCCAATAAAATATTGCAAAGAAAGTGATTCTGCTACATTATAGCTGGTTGATGTAAATGAAGTGTCTGAATTTCACTTGAGCATCTTATTTTTCTTACTTCACTTCATGCTTCAAGAGGAGACTTAAGCGAAAAAAAATCGAAAGAAAAGCCGTGAATTTATGTTTGATCGCTGTATGATCGTTCAGTTTGAATTTAACAGATTTCTTGATAGTTAATTTTTTTCCTCCCTTTCTTCCTATAACAAAAAAGTCAGAGAAACTTTGGATTAGAACAACTAATTACGCATGCATCAAGACTTTTACTTGGGGTTTACTGATCCCAAATGCATAAACCAGGCCCTGAAATCCAGATTCATAGCTATTCAACTACCACAATGCTTAAATATTACAGAAACTTTACCTTACCGCACAACCACAGTGAGATGTGGTGGGAGAGCAGAAAAAAAAGCTCTTACAGAGCAAAAGCTTCTTTTAGTGGCTCAAATAATTTTTGCCGCCGTAAACTCCATCGCTAACAATGTGGATTTTTATGCATAGTTAAAATAATACATCCACAACGCGCGCTCCTGAAATCCCAATTCCGCCCAACCCAACTTAAGCGATACTGGGCTTTTCGACAGGAAAATTATAATAGATGCAAAAATTCAAATTTCCCAACTGCATTTCAAATGAAAACTTTAATTAACAATTTTTCCACACTTTTTCCTATGCTATACATTTTGAAATGTAGGGATAGTCTGGATTTTTCTCGTTTCCACAGGGAGTTGATTTTTTTTTTCGTTGATTTTTGATGGAATTGTTGTTGATTTGCTTTAGAACAGCTTCTCGCTTTGCGATCACAGTGTAGCATTGTGGAACAAACCGGCAAAATGCTATCCATTTCGGGCAAATTCAATTGACTTGATTGAACAAGGAATGTTTGACAAATTAGCGTGTGATGAAAGTTTCACAGTCTCTTTTTCTATCTTGACAGGTTTAATGAAAGAGCGAGGAGTATGGCGAGCATCGAAATCAGTGATGATTAAAAATTCACTGTGAGACGGAAGTGAAAAATTCTCTCTAATTAATCCTCTGTGTGAACTTGTGAGTCTGTTCAAATAGAGTAGCGTGGGTGGAGGACAAAAAGGGCCAGAGACTCTCTAAAAAGAGTTGCTCTGCGCTAAAGGTATAAAACGGCAAACACTGAGACAATTTTCATCACTCACCATCGCTTGTGTGGATGTGATTCCTTTTGATAAAAGGCCACCCCCAGACCCTCGCATAATCGTGGAAGCGAAAATTACTCTGTTGTGTGCCAAAAACTTTGAAGCTCTCCACACCACATAAAACCAACAAGAGACGTTTACGGTGCAGTGATTTCTCCCTCTAACCCTTGTCGGCTCCCATTTGACAATTTTCCGCATTTGTACACACTTTTTTCTGCCGACATCCAAGCCTCTGTTGACATTCACGTGAATTTGTCCCGGGACTTGATGTGCCACCGGCAGTTCTGTGTCACCAGCCAAGTCCGAAGCTCAGTGCTAGCGCGTTAGGAAAAAAGAGGCCCAAAAGCAGCGATCTTAGCATAAAGCACAGCTCTCTCACCAGCAAGTGTCGCCATGAGGAGGACATCGGTCAGCGGTCGTCGCCGGAGTGCGTCAATCCTGCGCCCGGCAATTTACATTGTGGCCATTTTAGTGGCCGCCGACACCCTATTCACGGAGGCAGGAACTTCAAATCGCGGTAAGTTCACTCGCTCACCCTCGAAACCAGCACTTGTCATTGGTGTGACCACGTCTGTGGCGCATCATGAGTCACCTGATGTGAAAATTAATTGGAAAAGTGTCAAAAGTTTGACTAATGTGTCACACACACTGTGACCCGCAACTGAGAACCCAATTAGCCCGCATTCATTTTCCTTTCGCAATTTTTCACACACACTCTCTCTGTGTGCCCACCCAGGAATTTTTCAGCTGATCGATTTCCAACTGAGGACTTTTTTTGCGGTCACTCTCCTGAGGAGGCCAATGTGTCACTTTAGCCAGAGTAATTAATTGCTTACTGAATCATTTTTCACTTGGTCTCTTTAGCCGCGTTTTCAATCGACTTTTTCATCCCCCTAAACGCGGGGGAATTTTTCAGGATGACAGTGGAGAAAACCGCATTAGGCCTAATGGAATTAATTTAACTTTTAATTATATACAATTGAAGTAGTAAATTTTTTTTTTTGAAAATACTGAATTTTCTGAGATGAAATCAATTTGAGGACTTGAAATAACCAAGTCAATAATGAAACAAATAATTCCAAGTCCTTTCACATGACATAGAGAAGATTGAGCCACAATCACGACAGACACGTTCGACTGCAGATATAGTACCATCTGCTTCTGCATTATCGAGTCTTCTTAGCTCCAGATGATGGAACGGAAGTGACACTGCAAAATGAGCCAAAAGAAGACGAACGGCGCTGAAAGGGCTGAGATTGAAAATTCGGTGGAGGAGAATTCACTTGATGCTCTCTCACAGTGCCATGTATCTGGGCTGCCACTTGGCGAGTTAACATAATTTATTGGCAAACGGAGAGAGAGCCAAGTCAAGGGAGCAACGCCGCTCTGAGTTATATGAGTGTCACGATGAAATTGTATAAAGCCGTATGATTAATTAGGTATCATTATTTTCAGCAAACGTCACATGTTTCCCATATTTCATGTGGCTTGAGGCTCTTCGCATTCAATGTATTAATTTAATCTCCATTCACTTTGCCGTCTCTCTCATGCTTTTCCTCACTAACGTACGCCAATTTTTGAGGAAATCTATTCCACTCTCCCAATGTTTTCTATTGGAATATTGGATGTGTTGAAAATTGTGTTAATAGCTACATTTTTTTGATTTTTTGGTGAGGTTTTGTAGGAAAAAAAAACATTGATGCGCGTATTTCGGAGAAAAAAGCATGAGAACAATAACTATACATAGCTAGAATGAAAAGCGCGCGAATGTGGAAGCTTAATACGCCATCCCTTTCGGCATTAATTGACGAGATGGAGTATAAAAGTGTCGTGAATTCCACGTTTTATTTATACACCGCATTTAATTAATAGCCATCGATATATCACACATGATTTGTACACTTTTACAGAATTAAAGTTGAGGTTTTCGCTTAGAATGTGTTGCGGGGAAAAGCTCAGCGGTGGCAACAATCTATCAATTTGATATAACACAGACTGGCAATTATACTATCCGTTTTGCTATACGTTTTAATCCTTTCGCTGCCCGTTGATTTGCTGAAAAAAAAATTGTCACTAGTTCGAAAATGGACACTCATTTGTCCACAAGGCGTTCCTTCAGAACAGTCACAAGTGGGCGGATTTCACAGGAACGAAAGGGTATAATTTTAATTCAATTAACTCGCTTGGTAAATTGATTTAAAACACAACATTTGTGTGCAAAAGCCTGCAAAGACTAATGTCATTCTTTTATCTGTGCAAGATATCTTTTGTAATACAAAATTAAAGAGGAAGTGAATTTTTAGATTATTATTATTTGGCCGTCTGGGCTTTGTTGAATCATTCCCTCGTTGAATCTCTCTCTTATCAGCAAACTCAATTTGCTCTAGAATCCAAAAATATCAAATGTTTTCTGTCCTTCTCGAACGAATCTCTCCAGATATTCGTCAATATTTGTCGCATTTTCAGAGTTGTAAATCACACAAAAAGCAAATAACTCGCAGGTTTTTTCTCCACCTCTATCAGTTGAACTAGAATTCACTTCAGCCAAATTAGCTCCTGATTTCCGATCCGATGAAAAAATCAATCTATTATAATTTGCAAAACAAATGATTTTCAAGAATATCCGCAATCAGGCGAATATACGCAGTCTTTTCTTATTTTTAATTAATCAGAAGATTGCTGCTGAGCTATTGAATGACTTCATCTTATTAACTTTTCCATCACTCAGCGCACAACTATTAGAAATTTCTTGATAAATCTAATTATACTTCTTTTATGCTCCCATCACTCTCCAGATATTCCAATTTAATCCACGTCTGTTTTGCATTCTACAAACTTGCTCGGGAAAACTCCTGTCAGTGATCTGAAAGGTTATTCATTGAAAATTTTTCGCCTCAGTTGCAGAAAATGTATTCAGCTATTGACAGACTTCACCTCATTTTTACCGTCTGTTGAATTAAACTTTTATGTTTTTAATCAAGTTCTGTTCTTAACAACGCTCTTAAGGTGATAGATTTTATATAATACACAAATAACTTTTCATTATATACACAAAATGCATGCGAAGTAGCACTTAGTGAAATTATATTTTCTTTTCCATTATAAAGCTCAGCACTATTCGTAAAAATGTCAGAAAATGTATAGGAATTGATGATTTCAAGTGAGAGAAATTTTATGTGAGCTCAACCTGGGAAATGGAAAATTTAATAAGGTTCTTAACGTAATTTCATTTTATTAAGGACAGAGTGACATAAGATGTCAAATATGATTCATTTTTCAACTCAAACAGTCAATTTGCTCTCAAATTATTATTTTATGAAATCTAGTGCACAAAAGATTTAATAAAAAAAAGAAGAACTTTATAATCTGCTTTAGCATTTCCAATTTTGCTTTCATAATTGCTTTCAAATCCAACAAAACCTCTTTATTATTGTTTGGGGAAAATATCATGAAAGCGATGTAGGCAGTAATTTGTTTGGGAAAATGACAAATATTCCCTTGCTATTCCATCTCATAAACCGTCATACCTGGATTGAGAAGCATGTTAATTAGTACATTATTAATTGGCAAAATTGGGTGTGAGAGTATACAAAATAACTCCAAGTGGAAATTTCTGTTACTAATTCCGATCAATTAGTAAACACAATTTTGCGCACTGTCCATTGCAGCGACGTGTAATGCAAATTGTACTGGCAATCCTCTTCTATTCTCCCCTTTTCCAACTTGGGAAATGTGTTGAATAATTGGAAACTTTCATACATTAAGTCCTTAATCATTCTGCTGAATTTTCTGGCATTCATTTTCAACTTTGTTACTCTTGAGTGACATGCGGAAAATTTACGAGTAATTTCTTCGATTTTCACATTTTCGAGACTATACACAGAAGTTTAACAAGTGCCATGAATGAGAAAAAAAAAATTCGGATAAAAGTTTCCCAACGACAGAATCCATCGTTAAATCCACGAGTGTGGAAATTCGTCGATAATATAATTCAATAATGGTAAAGTTTTTTGAAAAATATCACTGATTGACTCAAGCAGGAATCTTTGAGTTTTCTTCAAATTTAAATTCGAAGCGTGTTAAAGTGATTTTTTTGAATGTTATAACTTTGCGTTGCTGATTGAGTCGTCAGTCGAGGGAATTGGAGGTGACAACTGAGAAAAATCATAAAAGTAAATATTTGGTTGAATTTTCAAGAAGGAAATTTTTGTCACAGACAGATTGCTCCTGTGTACATTGGAAGAATGACATTAAATTTCATACAATTATGCATGCTTAAATCATAAGAATTCTATAACAATCCTCGAAGCAATCTTGAATAATTTGTATACTATAAACTTGTCTTATTACTTTAAGTTCAAAATTGTGCATCCAGTTTGTATCATGAATTTATTCGAGCATACACATTTCCGAAACATTCCAATTTACAAATCGCTAGGACAAAGCATTGCATTGCTAACAAGGGCAAACTTCCATACTTTCTAAAGGATCTCTGCAGACTCTTTTCGAGAACATTCTCCTCTTTATGGAGCTTCCTCGAGTCAACAAAGGCTATCTCGCAGTCATATTCAGAATTTTTCATGCTTACAATGAGTTAATTAAAAGTGCATGAGAATTCATCCAACTTTCCTATGCTAAAGAAATCATATAGCGCAAATGTTTACACATGGAAGAGTACTGAAATTTGCCATAACGAGGTTTCCTTGTTATTTGGATAAAATAATAATAAAGAAAAATTGGATGATTCATGAATTTCAAAGAGTTGCTGGAATGAGAATTTTATTTTATATATAAAAATTGATGATCTTTAATAATAAATTAAGGATTTATAAAGCTTTTATCGAATGCCTTCAATTATTTTTTTTTTTTCTTCCATTAATTCGAAAAAAAGGAATTCTCTTTAGAACGGACCATTTTTCCAGTACATTGTGTGTTTCTTCCGTTTTCTGCACACTCTTTTGGGTTTTTTTTCCCCGTTGGCCAAATCTCACACCGAAAACTTAATCAAAGAGTGGCGCGTGGAAATTCCTTCCAATTCTTGAAATTCCGGCACAGTAGGTTTGGAGAGAAAAAGGACGAGACGCTGAAAAAAGTAGAGAGTGGCAGAAAAAAGCGGAAATTAGATATTGTGGCTAAATCGATCCAGCTCACCAAGACAATATCGCCTTGCAGAGATTTTCCACCATCAATCCGCTTGGGTGTTCCATTTTTTGCCACTTGCTGCCCCTCCAACACTATATATGTACCAACCACTGAGGAAGGGCGAAAAAATATCACAAGCGCAGAATTGTCGACAGCCCATAAATAGCGATGTGGAAAATGAAGCGAAGAGAGTACTTCCGGTTTTCACGGAGCCGTTGCTCAGCCCCTTCTCATCCAGATGCCTCCCGTGGGAAATGCGGGGGCTCCACACACAAGAGTGGGTGGATGAAGAGGTAAGAAAGTGATTTGAGGATTTTGCACCATCCTTCGCGCTCTGGCGCAGGATTGTTTACGAGAGAAGACCACTGAACAGCC